ACAAAAAGCTTCAAAAGAAATCTTTCCTCATTTAATAAATCTCTACTTTTCAAACAATTCATCACAAAGTTTATGCTTGAATTTTGGTATTTGGCATTCAAATATACACAAATAAAAATAGATAATAGCAACCACCACAAAAATTGAGCTGAGTTAATTTGATAATCTCACAGCTGTCTTAGTGTGTCTGTCACTCACAAGTCTGAACTCAGAACTAACATCAAACAGGTTGAACCATTGAAAGCATTACAAACTTGCAAACTAATAATCAATTGAAGTGGCCAGGCGCGGTGGCTCACGCCTGTAATCCAAGCACTTTGGAAGGCGGAGACTGGTGGATCACAAGGTCAGGAGATCAAGACCATACTTGCCAAGACGGTGAAACTCGGTCTCTACTAAAAAAAATACAAAAATTACCCAGGTGTGGTGGCACATGCTTGTAATCCCAGTTACTCAGGAGGCTGAGGCAGTAGAATTGCTTGAACCCCGGAGTTGGAGGTTGCAGTGAGCCAAAATCACGCCACTGCTTTCCAGCCTGGTGATGGAGTGAGACTCCATCTGAAAAAAAAAAAAAAATCAATCGAAGTAGAGTTGCCATTGAAGTGGCCTGAGATGGTTATCCTATCCTTGGCTGGTATCTGGGAACGTGAATTTTGGGAAGGTTTGGGAACCTGGATTTCAGAAGGGTTCCCCCAACCCTCACTGATCAAATGGCTCCATTGTACCTAAATAATATGGTTTCTGAGGAACATCTACTTTTTTTTGGGAATCTGGAATTTTGATTTGTGCACAATAGACAGTGTCTACATGACCAGTCACCAATAAAAAGTCCAGCACTGAGTTTCTAAGGAGCTTCTGTGACAATATTTCACATTTATTGTCACAGCGTGTGGCTTTTGGAATTCAGCACATCCTATGTGACTCCACTAGGAGAGGATGCTTGGAAGGTGGTGTCAGGTTTCCTCTGGACATGGCCCTGTGACCTCTCCCCTTTGCTGACCTTGCTGTAATAAGTCATAGCCACAGTGTGACTATATGCCAAGTCCTGTCAGTCCTCCTACCAATTTGTTTAACCCAGAAGTGTTCTTGTGAATCCTCAATACAGCTGGCATCAGAAACAAATTTTTTTACTTCTCACTCTGTCACCCAGGCTGGAGTGCAGTGGCACAATTATAGCTCACTGCAGCCTTGAACTCCTGGGCACAACTGATCCTCCTGCCTCAGCTGGAACTACAGGTATGTATCCTCCTGAGTAGCTGGGACTACAAGCACGTGCCACCATCCCGGGTTCTTTTTTTTCTGTAAAGATGGGGTCTTGCTATGTTGCCCAGGTTTATCTTGAGCTCCTGGCCTCAAGTTATCCTCCTGCCTTAGCCTCTCAAAGTGCTGAGATTACAGGTATGAGTCATTGCACCTGGTCCAGAAGTGGAATTTGCTAGAACAACCCTGACTCACTAAGATTTGGCTCCATCACTGTTTGGGAAAAGGAAGAATGAAGGGGAACGGTGATAAGCCTTTGATAACTGGGTGTCTATGGAGCCCTCCATGGTTTGAGAGCCACAGATGAACTGCTATCTGCTGTTAGAAGCCACAGTGATCTATGGGGTTAGAAACGGATCCAACCCTGGCTTCTTTGAGCTGTGCTGGATGAAGTGAGGGGGGAAATATGCACCTGGGTGATGCCTTTGTTTTTTGTTCTCTTCTCCAGGTGGGAGGTAAGAAAAACAACAGTGACAAATTATAAAGGTGAGTACTGGGTGGCCCCAAAATGTTAAAAGTTCTCAGAGCTGGAGCAAAGCTGGTGTGGGACGGTGGGGGGTGGGGGGTGGGGAGGATGCCAAGACTCTATCCAGCCTCTTATTCAGCCCAGCTGCTGCCCTGTTGCAAGAGCTGCCTCTTTCTTTGCCACCCGTGTACCCTCCCCAATCTGCTTTCCAACCTGAATAGTTCCCACAGCAGTAATGCTAACCTAACTGCAAATGCTGGATTTACTGCTATGGGTTTAGTTTGCAATAGAAAAATATGTTTAATGGCTTTGTGTTTTGTGGCTATTACATCTAGATGTATTAATATGATAAAATTGATATAAAATGTTAAATGCTTTCAATTTCATAAATTCTAGAGGGAGCACACTGATCAGGAAAAGCTGCAGAGGAAAGTGAGTGTGACACAACTTCCTTGCTTTTTGCAGCTAGTGGGCAGCTTGGAATTTAAATTCTCAATACTGGAAACAGAACAATTCTCCAAAATTAACAATTTTTGCTACGTTTTTTGCCTATTGGAGCCACTGGAAAAAAAGGAGACAATATGAAGAGAGGCAATCTTGAGCTAGAGATATGCTTTGGAATTTACAAATCTGTTTTTCATCTCTAATGAGCTCTTGTAAGATCATATAGCTGACACTCAGAGGCTGATGATTTTCTGGCCCCATGTGTATAGTTTTGAGTTGGTCAGCTTGGACCCTAAGGTGAATAAGGTAAACAGAGCCCAACAAAACCTTGCTTGTCACTCGGCTAAGAACATAGCTGTCTGGCCCTGCAGCATCTCAGTCTCCAGTTACTGGAAGAAAATATATTAGATGCTGGGGAAACTATAAGGCTACAGGGTGACACTGCATGTTGGCAGGGAGAATTGTTCAAGGTAGAAACTGTGGGGAGCAAAGAGAGATTCTCATCTGTGTAGCTGCTGCTATGTGCTAATATGGGGGTAAGAAAACTGTTAAGGAATAAACAGGCCAAGACCTCTGTCCTCACAGGATTTTCAGGCTAGACAGGAAAGTGGTCACCGTACAAATTGTATACAACTCCACTAGTACTTAAGAGGTCTGATTTATTGCTTTGAAACACAAATGCAGGATGTTTAAGGATTATCAGCAGCCTTTCCCTTTGTGGAAATTGTAAACTAAAAATAAAATCCTAAGCCCCCATCAACTGAAGGACACTCCCCTTAGCCAATGGGACTCCAGAAAAACCTTACAACTGAGTTCCTGGCCATGACGAGATGGAGGTCAGACATGTCTCATTATACCCTCTCATGTTTGTGGTTTAGACACAGCAACTGACAGCATTAATGTTAAAATAGAGATCATAAGACTGGCAGAACAGACTTTCGTGGCAATGAGATACCAAATTATAAACAAGACCTAAGGCCATGCCAGGCAAGGGTTAGGTCAAGCACCTTAAACTTAAAGAGTAAACTATGGTCTGACTGCCACAAGGTTTTTCCTTTTTCTCTAGCAGCTAAATAAACACTGACCTTGAGATAAGCAAAATGGAAACAATTGTAGCTCATCACCAGACACTAATTGGCTGCCAATCCCTGTCCCAAGCACCATAACTACAGCTTTGATTAGACAAGAGACTGATTTCAGTAACTTTCTCCTGATAAGAAGACCACCCACCATAAACTGGTTCTGGCTGGGTTTACAGAGGTTGCACACTTGAGTGCCTTCATGTCCTGAAAAGACCTTTTGACTGATAGGGCCTAATTATAATACATTCAAATGTTAGGTCTCCACCCCAGAGTGAACATGGGTCATATGTTACATGCATATTGGTTCAATATACGTGCATCAGGACCACCTTCATGCATACTCATAGCTCCTCCTGTAACCTGCTGAAGATGTATGTTTAGCTAACTTGTCCAGCATAATGCTCCTACCCCAACCTATCTTCCTTCAAAGTGCCTGTCCCTGGTCTTAGCCAGAGGCATTCTTCTCAGCCTGTTGCAGGCTGTAACCCCCTATAAGAAATAAAGCCTCCTCTCCATTCCAAATAGTTAAATCTTGGTTTTTTGTTGTTGTTTTGTTTTGTTTTGTTTTTGTTTTTGTTTTGCTTTGTTTGAGATGGAGTTTCGCTCTTGTCGCCCAGGCTGGAATGCAATGGTGCAATCTTGGGTCACTGCAACCTCTGTCTCCCGGGTTCAAGCAATTCTCTTGCTTCAGCCTCCTGAGTAGCTGTAGGCAACTGCCACCACGCCCGGCTTATTGTTGTATTTTTAATAGAGATGGGGTTTCACCATGTTGGCCAGGCTGGTCTCGAAATCAAATCCTGACCTCAGGTGATCTACCTGTCTCCGCCTTCCAAAGTGCTGGGATTACAGGCGTGAGCCACCGTGCCCAGCCTAAATCTTGTGATTTCAAAATTTAACAGAGTCAATTAAATGGTTCCATGATAGAGCGACATTTAAGGCAGACATTAGTTTTTATTGCCCCATAACGCTTCAGTAAGTTTCCCTGAATGTTTGCATTTACTTGTCAATCAACTCACAGGGAGTGAGGCAGAAGTAAAACCCACAATTACCTTACCCCTGGCCTATGTGATAAAGTAACATATTTTTAATCATATATTTGAGAGACATCTCTGCTACTAGGAACTTTTTTTTTTTTTTAACCTTTTAGGTTTGGGGGATATGTACAGGTTTGTTATGTAGGTAAACTCATATCACAGGGGTTTGCTGTACAGATTATTTCATCACCCAGGTACTAAGCCTAGTACCCAATAGTTATTTTTTCTGATCCTCTCCCTCCTCCCACCCCACCCTCATGTAGGCCCAGTGTCTGCTGTTCCCCTTTGTGTCCATGAGTTCTCATCATTTAGCTCCCACTTATAAGTGAGACTGGGTGACTGCTGACCTGCATCTCTCTTGGGTGGACCTCCCAGGACATAAGCAAAAGACCCTTGACCACAACCACTACCAAGGTCCCTTTCTCCTCTGTCTCCAAGTTGGGGAGGAAACATAAGCCCTAAGATCACCCCAGAGCTGTGGTGGGAAGCCCAGGAGAGATAAAACCTGAGTAGTTTTAAATGAGAATATGCATGTGGCTTTTTAAAGATGTTTGCAATATTTTTGCTATTCTCCCCTTGAGATTTTGGGGTCTATGCCCACCCTTACCAGACTGGACACTAGTGCTCACTTGTCACTGACACATTACATGAAAGTGATGCTGTGTAACTTTCAAAGTTATGTTTAAAAAGGCCTGGTTCACTCAGGTCACTCACCTGTGTGCCCTTGACCACCAAGTCAAAGCTCTGAATGTCCTAAGACTGTTCTGCTACCTGGAAGCCCAGGGTACCTGGGAGATCTCCTATAGGCCCTGCAGCCAAAGTCCCATGTCCTCTGCAGACATGTGAGTGAAGTCACTTCCAGATGATGCCAACCCTTTGCTATGGATTCAACTCCAGCCAATGAGTCTTCTCTGTAGTCCCCAAACACCAATGAGCAGCAATAAGCCATCTTTTCTGTGCCTTCCTAGCCCTGTGAACCATGAACAAAATAAAGTGGTTGTTTTATGCGTTATTTGGTGCTGGTGGTTCTTTCTTAAAAAAAAAAAGAAAAAAAAAATCACAGTAAAAGCACCAAGAATAACACAGTTGTAGGACATTCAAAAGGTACAAAATAACATGCACTGAAATCTAGGTTTCCTTCTTTCCCTCTTCCACAGCCTATCAGGTTCTGCTTCTGGAAGTAACAATGGTTAAGTTTCTGCACATCTTTCCAGATTTGTTAATTAAATAATCATATAGCACTGACACAGTGAGGAAGCTTTTTAAAGGCTTTACTTACATTTATTCATTTACTCTTCATTCACTGTGGACACTCAGGTGGCAGCAGGAAGGAAAGTATTTTGCTCAACCAAATGAAAGTCTGATCTGCTCTTTGAATGCTGTTCCTTCAATCATATGGTTCTATTTTCTTGATATATTCCCAAATCTTTTTTATTTTCTCCCTAATTGAGCATTCAGAGATGTAACGCTGTTTTCTAGTTTTTCTTCCATTTCACCACTAAATCTTAAATTTCATATGAGACAGGCAGTGATGAAATTCCTGAGTCACTGGACATGTGTATATGTATGTTTGTGATGGTAACACACACACACACACACACACACACACATTTTTCTATCTAGTTATTAACCATTAAAATTCTATACTCAGAGTGAGGAAATATTACACGTTCCTTCCCAAACTCTGTCAACTACCCCCTCACTTCAATAATACCTGAAAAAATGGCAACATCCATTATTAATGCAGTTTTTATCTCATCAATGAGCCATTTGATAAAATAGTTCTAGAAACTTGTAATGAATCAGCAATGATGGAAATTTGTACTGAACCATTTCATATCTAAAAGGGTATCTACTTTGTTTTAGACATGACAACTCTGTCATGTTTATTTTAGAATTTTCCATTGCTGCGTGTTTAAAGGGCTTGTCAATTCCCTTCCCTTTCCTAATTTTCATGACCAGATCATAAGAATGTGTGTGATCAGGCTGATTGATGTGCCACAACACATATTTAATCCTGGAATTTAGGGTTATCAGAAGTCTCCATTTAAAAAAGAATTAATTATATGTTTTCAAACAGCCGGCTGGTGAATATATAGTGCTTCATTTTTCTTAATGTCTCAGTGAATAGCCAGCCTTTTATGTATACATTAATAGAGGATCTCTCAAAAAATTCAGAGATTCAGAAATAAGTACATAAACTTAATTGCATAGAGAGAAAAAATAGGTACTATACGTAAGTGATAAAAGGTTTTATATAATTATTTTTTAAAACTAAATTTATAATAATGCTTTTTAAACTAAATCTGGAACAAATTTTAAATTATTTAATCTAGAAATGTCCAGTGATTCAGGAACAGTAGAAATGGGTGGGGAGGGCATTTCAACTCAAGCATGGAACTCCTTTTATTCTCAAGATGTTAGCTTTTTCTCTCTTCACTCTGAAATGTTCACTATCAAATATATTTGAGAGACAGGTCTTTTTTCCTCATTTAACATTTATTTCATACACAGAGAATAATACTGTGGGTCAGGGATTCAGTTTTTGAAATGCAACATATAATCTAAGTGACCATTTACCCATGTCAAAGTAGCAGCAGTTGGACCCCATAATGTGGCATGCATTCACTAGAAAATTCTACGGTGACCTATCACTGTGATCATGTGATGAACCATATCTTGCCTTCCATTCTAATCATCACTCTGTGAGCTTCGAGATTCAAGTTTGACAGCATTTGTCAATTTCAAAATGTCACACAAAGAGTGCTCAAATATGGGGAATTTTGTGTCCTGTTGCTGAGACATGTTCACTTTCATCTTCTGATTGTGGTTTCTTCAAATAGGCCAATTCACTTGTACTCAAAATGTCTTCCTCATTTTTTTGTTTCTCTCGCTCCAATTTGTCTATGGATTTATGAGCATGTTTTATAGTATTATTACTGACTTGTACTTTTGATTCTTCCACCAAGCTTTTTGTCTTAAATATTTTCCTATTTTTAGAAAAATGTAGTGTTTCTCCACACCACTTTTGTACCCAATCTTTCATAGAATAGGTACAGAAAAAACACAACCACACTGCCTTCATCAGATGAAGAGAATCTTGATACCAAATACAATATGAGACATTCAATAAAGGGAAATTATAGACCAAAGTCTTCTGAGTATAAATGTCAAAATCTGAAACCAAATATTAGAGTGGCCTAAATCTGGAGATTTTTAGGAAAAAAACTGAAATTTCATGGTGGGAAACATAATTTTGCCTAGTTTAGAAGTTTTGAGGGGTTGTTTTAAAGAAAAATTTAAAAGATAAATAATATTAAATGGATATAGAGTTATAAAATAAAAATATTATAAAAGGTTATAAAAATGTTTATGAAATTATTTTGCAGTCAAGATTGATTGATTGGGATTAGATTTGTTTATAAGGTCTTATTAAAATTAGCCATAATATTAAAAATACATTAATACCCAACTAAATTTAAAAAAAAAAATAAGCTTAAGATTTGTTCTCCATCAAACTTGACAAAAGGAGTATGTATTCCCGTGTGCCAGAGTGCCAGGTCACCACATACAATTATGTTGGGTTTGCATATTTGATGATGTGTCGCTACCAGGATGCCATCTGGGTCTTCGCCAACATCCTCCTCTAGATCCAGAGGACCAAGAGCATGTTTCAGAGGACCACATACAAGTATGAGATGATTAACAAGCAGAATGAGCAGATGCATGCGCTACTGGCCATTGCTCTCACGATGTACCCCATAGGTATCGATGAGAGTATTCACCCCCAGCTACAGAAGAAATATGGGGACAAGATGCTGCACCTGCAGAAAGGTGACCCACAAGTCTATGAAGAACTTTTCAGTTACTCCTGCCCCAAGTTCCTGTCACCTGTATTGCCCAACTACGATAATGTGCACCCCAGCTACCACAAAGAGCCCTTCCTGCAGCAGTTGAAGGTGTTTTCTGAAGTACAGCAGCAGGCCCACCTTTCAACCATCCCCGGCTTCCTCAAGCTTTACATCACCATGCCTGTGGCCAAGCTGGCTGGCTTCCTGGACCTCACAGAGCAGGAGTTCAGGATCCAGCTTCCTGTCTTCAAACACAAGATGAAGAACCTGGTGTGGACCAGCGGCATCACAACCCTGGATGGTGAATTTAGTCAGCCTCAGAGGTTAACTTCTACATTGATAATGACATGATCCGCATCGCAGACACCAAGGTCGCCAGGTGCTATGGGGATTTCTTCATCCATCAGAGCCACAAATTCGAAGAGCTTAATCGAACTCTGAAGAAGATGGGACAGAGACCCTGACAACATTTACACACATTATTCAGGAACCTGTTTTGATATATTATAGGCAGGAAGTGTTTTTGCTACCATGAAACCTTTACCTAGATCAGCCATCAGCCTGTCAACTCAGTTAACAAGTTAAGGACCAAAGTGTTTCAAGTGGATATCAGTAAAGGATCTTTGGAGCCAGGAAAAAAAAAAAAAATTGTTCTCAATGAGATTACATGTGGTAATAATTTTTAATTCTCAAATCTGTTTCTTCTTGAAACTTCTGAGATTTATATCTCAGAAGTTCAACCTTTACTATATTTTTTTACACATTATTTACAGATCATACATCATTGCCCTCTGTTTCCTTTCCGCTTCAAAAGGTGTATCTTTTTACTTCACTACAATGGTAATTTTGTCCTTCATCTTTTCCATCAACTCTTTTAACTTTTCCCTCATATTCTATTTCTGCTGTTATAATACTGAAATATTGATCTGAAAGGTTAAAAAAAAATTTCTCAGATGTAACATGATTTTATCCTCTTAACATTTTGATATGTCTGAATTGATGCATGTAATCAGGAAACTTCCCATGCTATTATCAGGTTGGTGCACAAGTAATAGTGGGTTTTGCCATTACTTTCAATGGCAAAAACTGCAATTACTGGTGCACCAACCTAATACTAGGAGCCATATATCCACCTGCTCAAGGTGCTAGTTTTCATGTTTACATTCCTCTATAATACAATGTTCACTCATGGCCTTGAATACATTGTGCTTGTGTCTAATTAATTCAAGTATCCCTTTCATCAGGTTTGACTTCAAGTTATTTAAACAGACTTTATTTAGGCACTTCCCATTCTCAAGTGTGCCTCAGTCCAGGTTGCTCAGATAGTTGCTCAGATTAAGTCAGTGAAACAGCTGGGGTCACAAATTTAATTCATCAATCCACTAAAGAATCAGCCCAGATAGCCATATTTTCAGTTAATTTCAATTAGCTGCTCATGAAGGGTTGGCCAGTTGAATGGAAGTTGATTCTTGGCACAGCCATCAAGTGGCAATTGGTTTAAAATGACTTGAGTTCTGAGTCAGCTTGGGGGCTGATATAGTTTGGATATGTGTCCCTGCCCAAATCTTATGGTGACTTGTAATCCCCATTATTGGAGATGACTGGGTGAGAGGTGACTGAGTCATGGGAGTGTATGTCTCATAAATGGTTTAGCATCATCCCCTTGTTGCTGCTCTTGCAATAGTGAGATCTGGTTTAAAAGTGTGTGACACCTCCTCCTACCTTGCTCCTGCTCTGGCCATGTGATGTGCATGCTCCCACTTAGCCTTCTGTTATGATTCTAAGTTTCCTGAGGCCTCCCCAGAAACCACGCAGATGTCAGTATCATGCTTCCTGTAAAGATTTCAGAACCCTGAGCCAATTTAAATTACCCAGTCTCAGGAATTTGTTTTTTGGTTGTTGTTGTTTTGGGGGGGTTGTTTGTTTTGAGACAGAGTCTCACTCTGTCACTCAGGCTGGAGTGTAGTGGCATGATCTCGGCTCACTGCAACCTCCTCCTCCTGTATTCAAGCAATTCTCCTCCCTCAGCCTCCTGAGTAGCTGGGATTACAGGCGCATGCCACCACGCCCAGCTAATTTTTGTACTTTTAGTAGAGACAGGGTTTCACCATGTTTGTCAGGCTGGTCTTGAACTTTTGACCTCATGATCTGCCCACCTCGGCCTCCCAAAGTGCTGGGATTACAGGTGTGAGCCACTGCACCTGGCCAGGAATTTCTTTATAGCAATGTGAGAATGACCTAACACAGAAAACTGGTACCAAGGAGTGGGGTGTTACTATAAAGGTACCTGAAAATGTGGAAGCAGCTTTGGAACTGGGTAATGGGCAGAGGTTGAAAGAGTCTGGAGAACTTGGAAGAAGACAGGAAGATGAGGGAAAGTTGAGAACTTCTTATAAACTGGTTAAATGATTCTGACCAAAATGCTGATAGGGATATGGAAAGTGAAGTCCAGGCTGATGAGTTCTCAGATGGAAATGAGGAACTTATTGGAAACTAGAGCAAAAGTCACACATGTTATGCCTTAGCAAAGAGCTTGGCTGGATTGCATCCATGTCCTAGGGACCTATGGAAGTTTGAACTTGAAGAGTGATATCGTAGAATATCTGGCAAAAAAAAAAAATTTCTAAGCAGCAAAGTGTTCAAGAAGTGGCATGGGCCAGGCATGGTGGCTCACACCAGTAATCCTAGCACTTTGAGAGGCCAAGGCAGGCAGATCACTTGACCCCAGAAGTTCAAGACCAGCCTGGGAAACATGACAAAATCCCATCTCTAAAAATATAAAAAATAGCTGGTGTGGTGGCATGTAGTCCCAGCTACTCAGGAGGCTGAGTTGGGACAATTACCTAAGCCTGGGGAGTTGAGGGTGCAGTGAGCCAGGATCATGCCATGGCACTTCAGCCTGGGTGACAGAGTGAGGCCTTGTCTCAAAAAAAAAAAAAAAAAAAAAAAACACAAACTGGTGTGACTGCTTCTAACAGACTATGCTTGGATGTGGAAGCAAAGAAATAAGTTGGAACTTCTATTTAACCAGAACATAAAAGTTGGGAAAATTTGCATCCTGCAGCCTGGCCATTTGGTAGGAAAAAAAAAAAAAAAAAGGCCTATGTTCAGAAGAATTCAAGTGGGCTGCTGAGTAACCACATGCTAGAGAAATTTGTATAACTAAAAAGGAGGCAAGTGCTGACATCCCAGACAATAAAAAGGCTTGAAGGCATTTTAGAGATCTCAGAGGCAGCCCATCCAAACACAGGATCAGAGGCCCAGGGAAGAATGGTTTTGAAGGCCAAGCCCAGGCCTGCACTGCCCTGCACATCCTCAGGACACTGCTCCCTGCCTCTTGGCAACTCCATATCCAGCTGTGGCTTAAAGGGTCCCATGTGTAGCTGTGGCTGCTGCTGTGACAAGTCGTAAGCCTTGGTGGCTTCCACATGGTGCTAAGTCTGCTGGCGTACAGAATGCAAGAGTGAATGAGGGCTTGGCACCATCCACCTAGATTTCAGAGGATGTATGGAAAAGCTTGCGTGTCCAGGCAGAAGCCTGCTGCATGGGTGGAGCCCTCACAGAGACCCTCTACTAGGGTGGTGTAGAGGAAAAATGTGGGGTTGGAGCTCCCACACAGAGTCCATACTGGGGCATTTGCTAGTGGAGCCACCATCCTCCAGACCCCAGAATGGTAGATCTATTGGCAGTTTGCACCCTGCACATGGAAAAAACTGCAAGCACTAAACTCCAGTCCATGAGCTTTGGGAGCTGAACCTTGCAAAGCCACAGAGGCAGAGCTGACCAACACTTTGGGAGCCCACTGCTTGCACCAAGGCCCTGGATGTAGGACATGGAGTCAAAGGAGATTATTATGGAGCTTTAAGATTTAATGATTGCATTGCTGGGTTTTGAATATGCATGGAGCCTGTAACCCCTTTCTTTGTGCCTTTTGGAATTGGGTTTGTTACCAAATGCTTGTACTCCCATTGTATTTTGGAAGTAACTCTAAACTTGTTTTTTATTTTACAGGTGGAAGAAATTTACCTTGTCTCAGATGAGACTTTGGACTTCGGACTTTTGAGATAATGCTGGAATGGGCTAAGACTTTGGGAGACTGTTGGGAAGGCATAACTGTATTCTGAAATGTGAGAAGGACATGAGATTTGGGAGTGGCAAGGGGTGGAATAATATAGTTTGGATACGTGTCCCTTCCCAAATCTCATGTTGAATTGTCATCCCCAGTATTGGAGCTGGGGCCTGGTGTGAAGTGATTGGCTCATGGGGGTAGTTTTCTCATGAATGGTTTAGCACCATCCCCTTGGTGCTGTCCTTGCAAAAGTGAGTTCTCATGAGATCCGGTTGCATAAACGTGTGGGGCATCTTGCTCTCACTCTCTCTTGCTTCTCCTCCTGCCATGTAGGATGCCTACTTCCCCTTCGCATCTCACTATGATTGGAAGATTCTAGAAATCTCCCAAGAAGCACATGCCACTATGCTTCCTCTATAGCCTGCAGAACCATGAACCAATTAAACCTCTTTTCTTTATGAATTACCCAGTCTCAAGTATTTCTTTATATCAATGCAAGGATGGACTAATACAGGGCCAAGCAGACCATGGTCCCTTAGGATGGTCAACTGATTTATATTGCAAGGTGAGATCAGGGATTAAAACCTAGAGGTTGAAGGAATCTTTTTTTATTATTGCTTCAGCTCTTCTTTTGACTTAGCCACCTCTTCCAGGGCATCAGCCTTCCTGAAGAAACTTTGGGGTAAGAGCAGTTGAGAAAGCAATGAAAATAGCTTTCAGGTTTCAGGGTATTATTTCAAGGTCTCAGGTCTTCAGAGACCTCAGTCCGCAGAAAACCAATTACCTTCTTGTGCCAGATCCATCACTTATCAGTGCTATGATTCTAGGCAGACCACTTCAAATCTCTCCATTTCACTTCCCTGAACTCTCAAATATGGGTTGTAGCCCTTCCTTTGCCCATTCCTCCTGGCTAGTGTAAGCATCACAAGAAATAACAGATATTCTCCGTAAGCTGTAAAGCATCATATCCATGGAAAGAAAGAAGAAAATTCCATCCTCCACTCCCCTGGAGCCATCCACATTTCTTCTCTGTATTCAACCACTACCAAGGTTCTGGTGTATTCTTCTAGACATATAATGATCGAACACTTTAAGGCACTTATAGATCACCAGTCTTCTAAAGGCTTTACCTCCATTTCACCATTTTTAGCCTTATAACATAACATAGGCCATATTAACATTTCAATACCACAGAACAGGGAACTGAGGCACAGAGAGGTCTCTATAACTTTCTCAGGTTTGTGCATCTTCTAAATAGGACTTGAATCCACACCTTTATGCACCAGGCCCAGTGCTCTTGGTCACTCCAATATTTCTATATTGTCTCATCTCAATACAGGTGTTTGCCTACACCATCAGTCTGTTGGTTATGAGTGCAACCTGCACTGCAGGTTCTTGTTAAAACCCAACTGAGATTCAGGGGTTTTGCTATGCAGATGGTGAATAATGGGTCAAACATTTAAGCTGTAAATAAACAATTACTCATTTCTCTGTGACCTCTGGCAGGAATTTGTCAAAAGCTGTCTTTTTCATTGTACACTTCCCAGCATCTTGCTTCCAGGATATGACAGTAGATCTTGAGGGATCAAGACAATCTACAGTCTACACCAAGCTGAGGAAGAGAATAATCCACCACTGGCCTCATAACTGGGTGCACCCTGGAAAGCAGTCAACTGAAAGTACTGTGGAAATTAAATTGTTAAGTTCATTCAAGCATAACAATTCTAGATTATTCAGTATCCCATATTTCAGACAACTCTAAAATTGCTATGCTATATTCTTTATTTCATGTGTGCAAATTTAAGTTTATTAAGTCAATCACTAGTGCTACAACTACAGAAGATATATTTACAACTTCAAAATTGTTTAATAGCACAGACTATCTCAATGTAATATTTAGATATTTAGCTGCTTGTTAAACATTAGCTAAAATGAAACGGTTCCTGAACAATGCTGCCATATTTTTTAAATTAATGGACATTATGTGAAACTGTTTTGAATTAACATAAAAACTGAAGTAGTAGCACAGAAAGTTCTCATATACCCTTCCCCCAGCCATTCACAGACTACTCAGGGTTGCCATGGTTATGCTGGCCCTACAGGAGCGTAACAAACTGTAGGTGGTCTTCTTATCAGGAGAAAGTTACTGAAATTAGTCTGTTGTCCAATCAAAGCTGCAGTTACGGCTTGTGGAACAGGGGTTGGAGGTTAGTCAGTATCTGGTGGTGAGCTACAATTATTTGAATATTGCTTATCTTGAGGTCAGTGCTTGTTTAGCTACTAGAGAAAAATTAACTTGTGGCAGTTAGAACACAGTTTATTCTTTAAGTTTAGGGTGCATGACTTAACCCTTGCCTGTTGTGGCCTTCAGTCCTGTTTATAATTTGGTATCTCATTGCCACAAAGAGTCCATTATGTCAGTCTTTTTTTTTTTTTTTTGAGATGGAGTCTCGCTCTGTCACCCAGGCTGGAGTACAGTGGCGTGATCTTGGCTCACTGCAAGCTCTGCCTCCGGGTTCACGCCATTCTCCTGCCTCAGCCTCCCAAGTAGCTGGGACTGCAGGCACCCACACCATGCCCAGCTAATTTTTTGTATTTTAGTAGAGATGGGGTTTCACCATGTTAGCCAGGATGGTCTCGATCCCCTGACCTCATGATCCGCCCTCCTCAGCCTCCCAAAGTGCTGGAATTACAGGTGTGAGCCACCATGCCCAGCTATGTCAGTCTTATTATCTCTATTTTCACGCTAATGCTGGGCAGTTCTGTCTAAACCATAAACATGAGGGGGTATAAGGAGATGTGTCTGAACCTCCTCCCCAGAAACTCAGTTTTAAAGTTTTTCTAGGGTCTCTTTGACCAAGGTAGGGCCTGTTCAGTGAGGGGTTAGAATTTTATTTTTAGTTTACAATTCCCACAAAGGCAAAGGCTGCTGATAAACATCTGCACTTGTGTTTCAAAGCAACACACACAGTTTTTTCTTTTTTTAGATGGAGTAAAAAGACAGGGCACACAGAAAAGTCATGCAACATGGTGGTCCTACCACTACCTAGAGCCTCTCCTCATTAAAGTGGCCTGTGGAGGGCTTAGCCCAGCAGGCTTAGAGCTTCTACAGAATGGGTATCTGCTCCCTGGGAGGATGTTCTAGGACATCCCTCATTTGCCTGCAGCAATTTTGGGGGTTGTTTTCAAAGCGCAAGTGTGGTCCCAGCTAAGAACAGCCTCATCAGCACTCTCCTATGTCGGTCTCCTTGATGGGCCAAAAGAAACTGAGAAGCCACTGAGAACATATATACTTACTTGTCTTCCCTTTTTTATGCTACCCACTCCACCATCACATTTCCTCTTCCTCTTTTTCTCCATCCTTCATACCCTCCATATCTTCTCCGAGATGGAGGACAAGAAGTCAGCAAGTTTGTGCCTCAGTGAGTTATTTCAAGGTACACACCACTCTCCCCTGAGGCTGATGAGATCTGCAATCATATTTTAAAAGCACTGTGAGGATTATATTATGCTGTGCACTTCACATAGGTCTGTTTTTTCTCTTGATGACTTTAGAAACTCAGAAGGGGTACAGTGGTTAAGTCAAAAATCAAAGTTCCCCAAAACTAGCACAGAGGATACCTGTGGAAATGATAAGACCTTTTCCTGCCACATTTATCTTTCAAGTTGATTTAGATTCGCAATGGCACAGGCCTTAATTCAAAGGGGAAACAGGTGCTGAGGGAAATGCCTCTAAATTAGTTTATAATGGAAACTGTCAGTTGGTAAGAGATGCCCACCAAATACCACCTCTACCAAAGGTATTGTATGTCTCCCATAATATACATTGTCAGATTTTTATCTCTAGATTTGATTGGAAAAGAAATAAACCAGGAAAGCAAAATTTCTGTATAAGAAAGAAGCATGGTCTTACATTGACAAGGTCTTCTTTATTTGGAGATGACTTGTCCAAAAGTTTTTGCAAAAGCTGGGAGGACACAGAGTGACTGTCGGTGCCCTGGAGGTTGGTGATTATGGATCACTCACGGAACTGTGCTTAATATGGTGCATGGAGGTGGTGGGTTCACATGCATGAACTGAGTTGATGTAGGGCCATCCTGCTGGGTGGAGGAAGGATGGGAAATAGGAGGAGCAGGAAAGAAACGAGAAACTACCAGGAGCCAGGAAGGAGGACAGTTTTCCCCTAGAAGCATCAGAGGAAACCTGGCCCTGCCTATGGATTTTGCGCTACTAGCTCTGAGAACTAAGACATTTCTGTTGTTTTAACCCACCCAGTTTGTGGTCCATGTGATTTCAGGCCTAGGAAGCTGATACACCAAGACAAATCAATAAACCCATATTTTGAATTTGCATGCATTTGTTTCATGTATACCCCTAATATTTCCACAATTATTATTTTTCTGTTTATCTTTCTGTATTTTATATACCACTAGTGTCATTTTAGGTTAATTTAAATATTTTCTCTGGTTGTGAAGACAATGTAAGTATATAATGACTTCATAATAATATATATAGATATATTTTTTTTTTAGATGGAGTCTCACTATGTAGCCCAACCTGGTGTGCAGTGGCACAATCTCGGCTCACTGCAACAGCTGCCTCCAGGGCTCAAGTGATTCTTGTGCCTCAGCCTCCCCAGTAGCTGGGACTACAGGCACACACCACCACACCTGGCTAATTTTTTTTTTTTTTTGAGATGAAGTCTCACTCTTGTCCCCCAGGCTGGAGTGCAATGGCATATTCTCAGCTCAAGCAACCTCTGCCTCCGGGTTCAAGCGATTCTCTTGCCTCAGCCTTCTGAGTAGCTGGGATTACAGGCACCTGCCACCATGCCCAGCTAATTTCTATATTTTTAGTAGAGACAGGGTTTCACCATGTTGGCCAGGCTGGTCTTGAACTCCTGACCTCAGGTGATCCGCCCGCCTCAGCCTCCCAATAATTTTTTGTATTTTAGTAGATACTAGGTTTCACCATGTTTCCCAGGGTGGTCTCGAACTTCTGCGCTCAGGCGATCTGCTGGCCTCGGCCTCCCAAAGTGCTGGGATTACAGGTGTGAGCCACTGCGCCCAGCCACAATATTATTTTTATCATAGGTACTAATACATATTGAGTTTTAGCTAATTCTAATTGCTTATTAATATCAATAAAAATGTGCAGATCATCTTGTTATTGGAGCTCTATGGATCTGTGAGCTCAGGGGAGATGCCTCCGTGTGCAGTGGGAAGCCTCAGGTGCAGCATGCCTGGCATCTCCTGCTCAAGATAAGAGCGCAGGCAGGGAGCTTGCTGGGCATGTTTGCAGGAAGGAGACTAGACTGAGACATGAGAAACAGTCTGTCACCAACACCCACCAGTGCTTTCACGCCTGAGTCAGACCAGGGCATTTCAGATGTTACTGTGTGCATGTCATCTGAGATCGTGTAAAGTGTGAATTCTGATTCCGTGGGTCTGGAATAGGACCTGGCTTTGCATTTCTAAAGGGTCCTTTCCCCCAAACTTTCCCATACATATTTTAATATCCTCAAATTCATAAGAATAGTGGAAAACAAGAAGGAAAGCCATAAGCAGACAGAAACCAAAGAGTAATCTCTTGCAGAGAGAACTAAAGACTTTTGACTTGAACATTTCCTGGTCCAGGGCCAGGAACCGTGGCTCACGCCTATAATACCAGTACTCTGGGAGGCCGAGGCGGCTGGATAACCTGAGGTTAGGAGTTTGAGACCAGCCTGACAAACAAGGTGAAACCCCGTCTCTACCAAAAATACAAAAATTAGCCACCTGTGGTGGTAGGCACCTGTAGTCCCAGCTACTCAGGAGGCTGAGACAGGAGAATTGCTTGAACCCGGGAGGCGGAGATTGCAGTGAGCTGAGATCATGCCATTGCACTCTAGCCTGGGAGACAGAGCAAGACTCCATCTCTAAATAAATAAATAAAATAAAAACATTGCCAGTCCAGGCAGGAAGATGGCTAGAGAGGACAGTTGAGATGCTGACAGACGTGTCACTTTAAGAAACAAACCAGAAATGAAAGTAAACACACCCCAAACCTTGACCTCCCCTTTGACTCCTGTTCAATCTCCCCACTGGCGCCTCCTCCAGTCTTTGATAAAGTGTGGAACATCCTTGCCCTCTCCCATTCCTCATCTCTGATTCACAATTTCCTGTCTTAATTCTCCAGTCTCTCTTTCTTTCCTACCATCTCCTTCTCCCCTGTGACCTCCTCACTAAGTCAGCAAGTTCTCTATGTCCAAAAAGCCAAGGGAAGTTTTTCAGATCTTGGAAGTTGTCACTTGCATCCCCTTACTTTAGTGAATCTCTCTAACCCCTCACTTCAGAAAAAGCCCCAAGGCTTCTGATTCTCCAGTACTTTCTCCTTCCACTCCCGGGGTTCTCCTACTTGACAGAGAATTCAGTGGATCTATCAATCCGGTGAATGTGTCCTCCCCAGCACTCACCAGACTGCTCGCTATGTGCTGATCTCTCGAGCAATCAAGTGGGGAGAGAGAAACCTGGCTTCATGAGTACCCTGGGAAGTGGATTCAGGGCTGAATCGCCCCTGCTTGTAGATAATGTATGCTTATTTCAGGTGCGATTTGTATATGAGATAACCCTTCCCTTAAGAACTCTTTATAAAGTGAGAATTGTGCACCCTGTTCCCACTGAGGAGGCCTACATAGAAAACGAAAGACTGAGATATCAGGAGCTCCCCTGAGAAAGAACGTCGTTCTGTCATTGGGCAGGGAGTGGGTAGGAGTCCTGGCCTAGGTGGAAGCAGGAGCCTCTGTGAAAACCACCCCTCCTCTAGTTACAGAAAGGATAGCCTGTGGGCCTGCCCTGAGGGAACCTGTAGGGCTCTCAGCTGGGGAAATGGGGAAACAGACACTGATCCTGGCCTCCGCTCAGGACTAGCAGCTGAGTCCTCCCTGGGCCTCTGCAGAGCCTCAAGCCAGGCTGAGCACAGGCACACGCCTCCCAGAAATGATACCCCGCCACAGGGCAGCAGGAAAGACCCAGTAAGGGTTTGGTTGGCCAAGGGTTTGCATGAAGGGCCCGTTTCTCCAGGGTCTGGAGGGTGGATAAGAGGCCTGCAGCAAGGCTGCCTCAGCAGAGCACTGGAGTATCTGGACTGTGGCATACACCCTACTCCTCCTCTTCATCCTCCTCCTTCATGGCACAGGTCAAGATGGCCCTCAGCATCCTGATCTCACATTCATGACAGAACTGTCCCCTCTTCTCCTTCCTCCAGGATGTAATGAGTTTGTTTTCAGGGTCCCTCTCCCAGACTGGGAGCCTCAGACTAACTCACCTGCAAGCTGAGCAGTAAGCGTAGCACCTACAGCACTGCATGGTAGCATGGTCAGGGAAGCCCCTTGGTGTGTGATGTGTCTTAACAGTGATGGAAACTACGGCAAGGGAGAGGGGATCCCTGATCACTTCTCAGGCTCCAGGTCTGAGGCTGACCACTCCTTAACCATCTCTAACATCCAGCCCCAGGACAAAGCTGACTGTATCTGTGGTGTATCTCACAGCACTGCAATGCCATGTGAGTGAAGCACAGTGACCCAGATGAATGGAGATGTGGATGGAGATGTGGGACAAAAACTGTATTCTCCACTACGACGGCTGCCACACAGCTCTCAGAAAATGTCTGGTGTCATAAATTCCAGGAAATGTTGGCGGGTTTTTTGTTGTTCCTGTTGTTTCCTTTTTAATTTTACAAGAAGTGACATAGATGCATCCTGATTCCTGCCAAGAGTTACCTGGGGATTAGTTTGCTACACAGATATTCAGTAATGCTGCAAATATTACAACAGATCTTGACACCCCTGCTGGTCATTGTCCCTGCACGGGGGACGCAAGTCCATTCACTCTCCTCTCCAGATATAAACACTGGGATTCAGCTACATGCCTCCCTCCTACCACATCAAGGTTCAGCCTAATGACCACCCTTCAAAGATAACATCTTTAATTTCTTTGACAATTTTAAAAATAAGTTCTATTTTTATCTTAGATTCAGGGGGTACATGTGCAGTTTTGTTACGTGGGTATACTGTGTGATGTGAGGTTTGGGGAACGATTGATTCTGTTACTCATGTAGTGAGCATAGAGAGCAACAGGTAGTTTTTCAACTCTTACCCTATATATGTTTAACCCAGAAAGTCCAAATTTGGTTTTCACATTTGGAAACTAAATGTTTCATTCATGTCCCCTTTTTCAACTGGTTTCTCAGTCGTTTGTGTGTAATGTTACGAACGGCATGAGATTCAGTTTTTGGTGTTGATCTCTGGATGAAGGCTTATCACCCTTTCTAATCTGTGTAATGCCCTGCACCCAGTTAATCATGGAGTGTGTTTCCAAAAAGTACAAACATAGAGTGACCCCTGGGACTCAACACCTTCAACCTGGTATCAATAGAAGGCCTGTATCTGCATTACAGATATGAATCCACAACAAATCCTTCCCATGGCTTTGACCTATTTCTCTATACCAGGCTATCTCCCAAGAGAATTTCAACAAAGAATTGTTTTGATCCCAAGTCAAAAGGATGCCCTTCAAGCCTTGTTCAAACAGAACTCCTACCCTGGCATACCAACTAAAGAACAACTGGCCAAAGAAATCGGCAGTCTGGAGTCTAGGATACAGGTGGGCTTGTATTTCCATTTCATTTCCTTGGGGTCAAAGAAGAAAGAGAAGCTGGGCTAAGCAGTCTCCTATCATACCATGTTAAGAATGAACTGAAAGTAAGACCCCTATCTCTGCCTTTTACCAATCATGGAACATGTGGTCTGGTGTATTCACTGATAGGGGAAGGA